TATAGGGCACGATCTTGCAGCCACAAAATTAAACACACAAACCAAAGACCTGCTTGTGACATCTCTTAATCCCCTTTTCCTGAATAATCAAGCTAAAAAGAGGCAGCTGAGTTTTGAGAAATAAGTACCTTCTGTGTGCCCAGTAACCCTTCTGCAGTGTGAGGAACTGAATGGAGAACAGGGAACCGTTGGGATCCTGCTCCAGCCTCATTTTGAGTGTCCTGTCAAGAGAAAAGGGGTAAGAATGCTGCAGGGGATGTAATGGTTCATCCTTAACTGTGGCTTTGATATGAGGAGTATGGAAAGTGTGGTGACTTTCTTCCAGAGCAGGGTGACTAAATGTTGTCTTTGTCCACAAAGTCAAAATTAACTTCTCAGTTCTAGCCTTATAACCTAAAATAATTCCAGGAAAATTTAACTGAGGAGAAGATAAGTCCTTGTAAGACTGAAACATGCTTTTTGTTTGTAAGGCTGTAGATGCAAATGTTTTCAGGAATAAGCCAGCAGAAAAACTTTCTGGAGAAGAACAGACGGGAAATATAGAAGGCTATTATCCACCAAAATGCTTAAAAAAGCACCATGAAGCAGAGGTTGTGCTTAAGGACCAAGACTTGTAAGGAATTTGAGACCTGAGCTGACAACATAATTGCACTGGCTTTTGAGTTTACCAGAAGTCTGTTTTGTGAAAACTGCAGATGGTCTGTATGTTTGGGTTTTTTTGGTTTGGTTTCTGGTTTGTTTTTTTTTTGTTGTTGGTAAACTAAAGTTGCACTTGTTGAGGATGCAAGAAATACTGCTTTGTGGGAAAGCAAGTGATCTTAAAGATGTTTACTTCTGCATGGAAACATTCCCAGACAACGAAGGAATCAAACCCCCTCCCTACAAATATTAAGTTCAGTCAATTCCTTTGGTACAATATCTTGTTTTTTTCTTAAGGTGACGGTCTTCATACTTGTAACCACTAAACTTCATCGTACTCCCATGCTTTTTGCGCACTATTTGTTTCCCAAGGCTAGTGACAGGCAAAGTCATCTTGTATTTAAAGTACTTCCACTTAGAGTTTGTGGTAAGATTGGGAGTAAGATACTTTGAACTTTGTAGTCTGTGATTAAACGTTTTAGCAGCTGTTGCTGTAAAGACTTAAATATGCTTCCAACTTTTTTCATACAGGTATCTCATCAACTTGGAGGTAATTGAATACCTACAGGACTGAGGCATAAAGTAGGTAGGATAGCATTTTATTTGATATTAATGATTTTACTGGAACATATAATTACTGGAATGGTTGTGTGTTCCTTGGCATTAGTCTACATGAAAGAGTGTGTTCTATTAAACAGGGGCATAGTTCTAAAAAAACCCACACTTAATAATATTGCTTTGCAAAGCAAATGAGTGTATCTGTGCTTGCCAATTAAATTGTATCGTGGGTGGAATAATTAATTTGGATGCTAGACAAGCAGCACATTGCAGATTTAAAAAATTTATTTATTTGTAATTTAGCCTGACTGGGGAGTACCCAGTTTAAGATTACATCCATTTTCCGTGCCTTACAGCCTTGTGCACGGCATGGATGCAGCTGCTTGTTTCTACAGATTTCCCTGCCCTCCCAAACAGTCAAATCTGGGATGTATCTTCTAGTCTTTTAAGTGTGAGTGTGTGATGTCTTTACAAGTAGCAGTTCTCTGCTGTTGTATGGTCAGATTCCTACCTTCCCACCTGCCTCCAGGTTCTAACTCAGAACAGGTACACTTCTCCTTTTCAAGCGAATGCTGAAATTCATCATCAGTCAGCAAAACTGACACAGATTTCACCAACAAAGTGACACAGATTTCTGTACATTTAAAAGCTGTGCTTGCAGTTTTGCTGACTTACAGCCAAAATGAGAAAAGCATTAACACAATGACTGGTGCAATTCAGTCCTGGTGATGTAAAGAAATGTTATGATGTTTGAAACCGTGTATATATGTACAAACCTATTGGTAGACTAATTGATATAAGTAGACTTCTTAGAAGAAAGGAAAATCCTGAAGGGGAAAACAATGTTAGGATACAGATCCCCAACCATAGTAAACAAACTACTTCCAAGTGGTACCTGAAGATGGTGATGAGAAGTGGCATCAGAAGCGCCTTCTGGTGCACAGTCAATACCCAGGCAAAAGGTTCACCTGCCTGGAGTCTCCTTGGTGTTTTACCAATAGTCACCTGGATTACCTTCAGAGATAAGAGTTCCCACGGTGTATCTGTGTCTCTAATTCCTCCAAAAATGGGTGTTCCTTCAGATACACTGTTTTGTATTACAGTGTTGTAAAGCTTGACCTTTAAACCTCTACCGTTCTTTCTGCAACAATGTTCATACCCTATCAGTCAGTAGACAGAAAACTGGAGGTATTTGGTCAGTCCACTGGAACGCTATTTTTAGCATAAGCAAACAGAAACCAGACTGGCTCATGATCAGTCCTTTGGGGAAGGGAGGTAGAAGGATGAAGAGAGGAAGAGACTTCTCCTCTTGAAGATTTTTCCTGTTAGTCACAGCACTGAGGGAAAACAAACTCCATATGGAACAGATCATGTAAGGCCTTTAAAACATATTTGCAGAGACTGTACCATTTCTTAAAGGAACTTGGAATACTCTGTGGCTTGGGGTTTTTGTTCTTATATTTCTCCCATTTGGGGATGTGTGTGCATTTTCATTTGTTTTAATTTGGCCTGAGTTAAATGCATTAACCGGTAGTTTGTTTTATCATTTTTGAAAGATCTATTCATAAAGGGAAAACACTCCCTGATTCCCCCAATGGGAAAGAGTTACAAATGCTTCTCTCCCAGTAGATTCATTAGAAAGGTTTTTGCTGCCTTTTTTTTTTTTTTTTTAATTGGCATGCAAACGAAGGCTGAATTTTTGTCCCCAGCACAAGGCAGGAGTGTAGTGTGGTGAAGACAGGGTACGCGCTCAGTTGGATGCTGAATTCAGACATGGAGCAGCCATGCACTGCAGGAGGTCATGACTGGATCTAATGGAGCTACTAGTCACATCTGAAATTACTTGCCCTTTCTCCATTCCCCCCATCAAGTTGTACCTGCAATTGTACCATTGCAGAACATTAACCATGGAGTCCAGCCTTCCATGATCTGCCTTTCCTGCATGATAGGACAGTGATGGCTCACAAGGAAGAAGTGGAGAGGGACTTACTCCTTGATGATAACTGTGCTCTAATTCTGCAATGTGAATCAGTGTTACGTGTAAGGATGGCTGTCATTGAAACACCTGAGGTGTTCAGAGCAGCTCTCCTGTGAACAAATGATCAGAGGGCTGGAGCCTCTCTCCTATGAGGACAGGCTGAGAGAGTTGGGCTTGTTCAGCGGGGAACAAGGTTGTTCAGTGGGGAGAAGAGAAGGCCCTGTGGAGACCCTATAACAGCCTTCCAGTACCTAAAGGCGGCTACAGGAGAGATGGAGAGGACTCTTTATGAGGGCATGTAGTGATAGGATGAGGAGTAATGGTTTTAAACTGAAAGAGGGGAGATTTAGATTAGATACTAGAAAGAAATTCTTTCCTGTGAGGGTGGTGAGACACTGGAACAGGTTGCTCAGAGAAGTTGTGGCTGCCCCATCCCTGGAAGTGTTCAAGGCCAGGCTGGATGGGGCTTTGAGCAATCTGGTCTGGTGGGAGGTGTCCCTGCCCATGGCAGGGGGGTTGGAACTTAATGATCTTTAAGGTCCCTTTCAACTCTAACCATTCTATGAGGTTTTGGGGTTTTTTCTTTAGTTGAGATGCTATTATATTCCCACTTATTAAATGCAAACCTTTAGTTTGAAACATGGCCAAAATTAATGTGTGAATGTGTTAATCTTTTAGAATTCAGCACTGGTCTAAAGCATATTCAGTGTGCAAGTGTGCACGTTGGGAAAGAGCTCTGGGCTTTTGCATTAATGATACGGAAACAGATTCTGCCAGAGGTATTTTTTTTCTTTCTTTCTTTTTTTTTTTTTTTTAAATTATTCCAGTGAGAACAGGTAAGATGAGGGCAAACACTGAAACTTCCTGCTTATCTGAATTACTGCTGTAATTACTTGTTTTGACATCTTAAAACTATGAGCTATTCTAACTTCCCAAATTTCCTCATATTTCACATGCTCTATATTAGCATGAGTAGGAGAAACTATGTTATAAAACAAAAGCAATAGAGATTTACTGAACATGAAGGACAGAATAAGGTTTTTGGACAGAACCAAGGATTTTGTTAGGGCTCAGAAGAATTAAGGACCACTGAAAAGGTATGAAGAATTCAGGCTTTATTTAAGAAGTTTCTCTCTTCGTGACATGACGTTAAAAAAAATAATAATTTAAAAAGTAACTTTAAACTCACCTTTTCAGAGAAGATGAGTAGGCAGAGTGCCAGGAGGCAGGTGTAGTCCCTAAACCATCTTTGGTATGAAACGGTGAGGAGTTGGGTACGCGCGTACCAACTGCTGCAATGGGAAGAGGGGAAGCGCACCCTGAAATTGCCGTCCTTAAAAAAAAAAAAAAAATAAAAAAGGCAAATTCAGAGCCGTGCGTTAGACCGTTGAGTTTAAAACCTGTGGCGGTGGGGAAGAGAAGCCGGGGGAGAGCTCGGCGGGGCGGGGATGGGGGCTCCCGGCCGGGCGGGGAGGCGGTGCCCGGGCGGCGGAGGAAGGGCAGGAAAACAGTAGCTGATTTTTTAATTTTCTTTATTTTTTTTAATTTTTTTTTTCTTCTCTCTCTTTTCCTCCCTTCTTCCCGGGGCTGTAATCCGACTGCTCTCTTTGGCTCGGCTCCAGAGGCAAGTCCGAGTGGTTAAATCTCTGTTTCCCCCCCCCCCCCCCCCCCCCTCCCCCCCCCCGCGGCGGGGGGGGGGGGGGGGGGGGGGGGGGCGGGGGCAGGCCTCCCTGGGGAGGGGCTGAGGCAGCGGCTGGGCTGCGGGAGCTGCATGGAGGAGGGGAGTTTCACAGACTCCCCTGCCCGGGCGGGAGGAGGAGGAAGTTTGGAGATTAAGCCGGAGCCCGAGCGCACGGAGGGAGCCCGGGGCGCGGCCGCTGCGAGCGGGGACACCCGGTGCTGCCGCTGAATGAGTTACGGGGCGGGGTGGGGATAACCTCCCGCACCCCCCCGCGCCTGGATTTTAAACGGGAGGAGGAGGAGGAGGAGCGGGTGTGCGAAGGCAGAGGACGGCGAGAGGCTGCTGCTGCCGCCGGTGAGCGCGGGGCTTTGTTCGCGCCGGGGAGGGGGCGGCGGT